TGCAGCAAGATTTCGTTTAAGCTCAGGACAACTTGCGGGGTGAAGTCAGAACGCAAATGACAAGTCTCAGGGGCACTCTCGGAGCAGAGTTAAGACACGAATTTTCTGCAGCTCAAGACAGTTTGCGAGTTGAAGTCACAGGTGAACTTACAAATCTAAGCGCCAGTAGCAGTGAGATGACGGAAATAAAAGGACATTTAGTAAATCTCGTGCAAGCAATGACCAACATGTCGAACACGCTGAATCAAACACGAGCCGCTGCGCATGCAGCACAGCAAATAGCTCTTGAAGCTCGAAGTCAATCTCGGTTGCAACAACAACAGTGTCAAGTGCGTCGACAGGACAACTGATGGCTGTATCTACTTCTGCTGTTCCGGAACAACAAAGGGCTGGGAGCGCAAACAAAGACGTCAACATAACGAGAATTGGTCCACCACCAGCGATAGGCGTAATGTCACGACTACGGAAGATGGATACAAATTCACCGAGCTTCGATGGACAAATTGACGGTATCAAGTTGAGTAGTTTTCTTTTTCAATTTAAAAACTACTTTGAACAGAAAGATTGTAATTTACATCAGCACGATCATCGGCTCATTCGTGAACTGAATCGATGTGCTCGAGAGAATGCCTTGCCTTGGTATGAACGATATATGACGGACGAGACCACAATCACATTGTGGAGTGTGGTGAAGGAAGAAATGGCTCGTGAATTCCGCGAACCGAACTTTAAAACAAAGTTCGGAACCAGCTTTTGACAATCAGACAAAACTGGGATTTCAAAGGTAGTAGGAATGGAGCAGATTCAAAGGAAACCACAAAGGTCAGCCAAAAACAAACTCCGTGGGTCAATCACAACACGCGCGGGGCAACCAACCACAACCAGTTACATCTCTTTGTACGCGCTGCCATCGTGGAATGCATCGCGTGGATGATTGTTGGGTCCTACATCCTGAGAATAAACCGAAACACTAGCAGAAAAGCAACAAATTCACCAGCAGATTTACGCACAGCTGGAGACACTGATGATTGAGGATGACCGAACACGCTCGTCCACGACTACTCAACCGTCAAACTAGGCCGTCCACCGGAGATCGTGCACTCGGGTGGACGTAAGGATGAGCTGCTCGATGAAGTGAATATTGTAGATTCTGAGTTAAGTTACGTGACGATTTAAAAACAACTTTGAAAACGAAAACAATAATTTGAAGGATCGTGAATTTTACTGCTTGTTGCATGCACGGAGCACTGTACACTTTCCAACAAAGGACATTTGCATCATGAATTCTAATTTCATTGATAGCGGAGCAACTGTTGATGGAATGAACCCGAAATTCTGCATGGCTAATGGATTCTGGAGTCACGTTGTTGATCACCACGAACCGATTGAAATCACATCTGCCGCAAAGCAGAAAACGACAGTACAGACAAGGACAGTTAAGCTCACGTTGTATATGGACAAATTCAAACCCTATGTTAATGACATCCAGATTATCGAAGTTCCAGAAAACCAAGACATCCTTTTAGGAATGCCATGGTTGAAAACCACCAACCCGGATATTGACTGGGTAGAAGAACGGGTACGACCAGGGGAAGAACAAGATGACGTAGAATTGGGCACAGGTCTCAGAATGAAAAACGTGAAGAACAAGAAAAAAGTAAAAACGCAGCAGAAACCCAACCGATCAGCAGAGAACATCGGTGGAGAACGCTATCCAGTTTCGCCAACCAAAACAAGAACGCTGTGAGAAATCTGTTTGCCTGTGGATATTATTCAATCAACAGTGGAACAACTAAATACATCAGTAGCAAACAATTTCGACGATTACTGAAGAAACCTAAGAAAATTGAGTATGTTTTTGCAATTGGACCAAAGACAGAAAAGGAAAGTGGTGAAGAATGCCAACAGACTGTCGACATTGAGTCATATCGTGGAAATACTGTGTACCCAGTGTTGCAACGGCACAAGTTGGTTTTTCAACAGAAACTACCGATCTGCGAGCATGGAGTGAACGAAATCGATGTTGATACACATGACGCAATATTTCGGTGGCAATGGCGACTTTCTCCTGCACAAGAAAAAAACTATAGTGGACTGGGTCGCGGAAATGCTAGCGGCTGGACTTATTTGTCCATCAATGTCACCCACGGAGCGCCCGCGTTCTGCGTCAAAAAGCTAGTTCGATGGCGCATTGTGCATGATTATCGTGCCCTCAATTCACATACGATCCGTCGTACGCTACCACTGCCTAGGAAAGACATTATCATTGATAAGATGCAATATGCTCATTGGTATTCGTGCTTAAACTTTCTAAGTGGATATTATCAATTTCGAATGCGCGATTCGGACGTTTCGTTTACAGCTTTTCAAGCACCAGACGGTTCGTACGAGTTTACCAGACGGTTGGTACGAATTTCTCGTGCTACCGATGGGACTCTCAAATGCTCCTGCCACATTCAACCCGGGCGTCCGTCACGTATTGGCCGATTCAAGTGAAATTTGCCAGTCATATTTTGATGATATCTACATCTATACTCAATCGCCAAATATCGATGAACATTTGAAAGCATTGGATTATGTTCTAACGCGACTTGAAAAACATAAATTTTACGTGAAGTTGAGCAAGTGTTTATTCTGTGTTGACGAGATACCGTGCTTAGGAGACTACGTTGGCAGAAATGGAGTTCGCATTGATCCTGCCAAATTGAAAATATTAAGAAAATTGCCACTACCCCGTAACCGGAGCTAACTGCAGTCGTTTCTAGGTACGGCGGTATATGTGCAGAGATTTTGCCAGAACTTTGCAAATGACGCATCACCTCTTTTTGACATCTTAAAAGGACACGGGAAAAAGTAGAGCGGACAGAAGATCTTCGCAACCATTTCGAATGTCTTAAGACAAAGATTAGCTCCACACCTGCCTTAGCGATTCCGAACTTTGATCGACCATTTCTTTTGCGAATGAACGCTAGTGATTTTGTTGTCGGCGTAGTCCTGTTTCAGAAGAACGGCGAGGGCCAGGCATGAGTAGAGAGACCAGTAGCTTTGGAGGAATGAAGTACAAAGATGCCGAGAGAAACTACTCCATTCGGGAAAAGGAATTACTAGCGAATCTGTTGGGTTTACGGTTGTGGAGGGTATATCTGGTGGACAAACCGTTCATCGTTGAGACGAATCACCGTTCATTAGAGACCATCTTCACTCAGAAAACAATATCTCGTCGCGTAGCTCGCTGGTATGACGAACTTAGTGAATATCCTATAAGATTTCGATACATACCTGGAAAAGAGAACGTAGTGGCGGATGGTTTATCGCGCCATCCAGATTTCTTCGACAAGGAACCGATAACGTTAGCATCTCTCAGTACTCGGTCCAAATTCCAACAGCGCGTGAAGCAAGACATCGACAACCTGGTGAAGGAAGCCGTGTGCAGATACGCAGAGGATTTATTTTCACAGCAAACTAGCAACAGTGTTTAAGTGCTAAGAAGCGCGGAAGGCATCAGATCCGTAATTTAGAGCGCTATAACATTGACAACAAGAAAATCTTCTACCAGAGTCCAAGTGATGAGCTTCCACGACTAGTTCCACCAAATATTCCCGAAGTAATTGATGGTATCTTGCATGAATTTCATGACGGGAAGTGCTATGGACATCCGGGCGTGGAGAGAACACTTCGTCTCGTTGAAAAGAACTACTATTGGCGCTACATGCAGTGATCAATTCAGGAATATGTGCAGTCTTGTGAAGTATGTCAAAGAACAAAAGGCCGAAATAATAAGCCATCGGGATTACTGCGCTCACATCCGATACCAAGTGCAAGGTGGACGCACCTAGCAGTTGATTTCGTTATGGCCCTCCCAGAGACAAAGGTCGGATATGATGCTGTTATGGTAGTGATAGATCGCTTGACTAAGCAATCTCACTTCCTCCCAACGACGACAATTGCAACAGCGCTGGAAACAGCAACGCTATACCGAGATCGCGTGTTTTCACGGCATGGTCTGCATGAGGAGTTATTATCCGACAGGGATTCGAGGTTTACGTCGGCTGTGTGGATGTATTTGTGTGAAATGCTGAGTACACGCCAGAAATTAACTACAGCATTCCCGCAACAGGCAAATGGTGTCAGACAATCGAAAATTATTTGTGGGCGTTAAGCAATATTAACAGTGATGATTGGGATGAACTGCTAGCACTGGCGGAGTTCGCCTATAATTCGCGATACCAAGCTTTCATTGCTGTGTCACCATTTGAGACTGACTTGGGATATTTTCCGATAACACCAGCTACGCTGAAGACACTGGAACAGAGCAGCGATAAGGCAGTTCGCGTAGCTCAGAGACTTAGTGAAGAATTTGTGGAACGACAGAGGGATCTGTTGGCAAAGGCAAGACGAACAATTCAAGCCTCTCAAGATCGAACGAGCCATATCTATGACAAGAACCGGCCTGTACAACAGTTTAAACTTGTAGATCGAGTCATGTTGTCAACAACCAATTTAGCTACATATAATTCCTGTACCACAAAGAAGAAAACGGGTCAAAATGAATTGGACCATACTGAGTGGCACAGAATTGGACATGACTATAACCAAATCGAATTGCCAACTAGAGTAAAGTTTCATCCGTGTTCCACACCTGGTTACTGAAGCCATACGTCTCCCAAGGAGATCCCACCAGGACATTTTCAAGGTTCGTCTTCCGGATGGCACCGAAGGCGAGCTACTTGAAGACATTGTTGGCTATCATAAAAAGGGTGGTAACAGACAATACCACTCATTCAAAGTTGACCTGGGAGCCGCTGGCAAATCTACAATATGCTCAAGATTTCATCAACCGATATCATGAGCGTCAGAAAAACAAAAGAGAC